GCATTTTTCAAATATTTATTTATAAGAAATTAAATATTTTAAATATTCATTTTCTTATATGTATGTATCTATCCTCGATACAGTATTCAATCTCATTTGAATATATATTTATTATTTTGAACTTTTTTTGGAATCTACTGAAACTTTAGTTATCATGGTCACGCAGTTTAGAATTTCTCATCAAATAAGTTTTTTAATTAATTTTCCAACACCACCAACACCAAAAAACTTTAACACTGATTTTGAAAAATGGATAAAGCCAAATGATATAATGATTATGAACTAGTAATTCGAGGACACCATTGCTGCAAGATGGCACTGCATACCTCAAGGAAAACAAAGAAATGTCAAAGAGACATTTTGTATTGACATTACTGTATTACATAAGTTAATTTAACAAAAAAAATCAAAGTTTCTGTAGTGAAAGTATTGTTGACGAATATAATCCGTTATTTCAAATATAATACTAGAACAATAGTGGAAGGCAAAGCAGTTTTTAGAGTTGAATCACATTTGGCCTACACAGTTCTTCATTGAAATTGTCTCCCCACGTAGTGAGTTCAACTCAGGTGTCACTGACGAAAAAAATGGGTAATTGGTCAGCGTGCAAGAAAGCAGTGAGGTAGGTCTGTTTTGTTTCTACAGCTTCTCAATATGATGAGCATTTTATGTAGTTGAGGAAACAGATAAACTTTTGGAGATTCAAATGCATACATATACACAGTTTTTTATGTACTTGGAGTAAAATCATCTATGTCGAAGTATAAATACAAAAAAATTTGTCTAGTGCTCCTTATGGTTGAAATCAATGTTTTCCTTAACTATGATGTTCAAAATATAACACTAGATGATGCCTATTCTGTGATCCTTACGATTATCTGGAGATTGTATAAATTTGATTATCAGCAGTCAAAACTTCAAATGAAATGAGAAATTTTAGATGAGGTTTTAGTCCTTCCTCCCAATCAAAGCAAAGGCTGCTTTTCAAAAGCTTGAAACACTGTTCCGAACCAGAAAACTATACAAACCCCAACAACTTTAGATACTTTATAAAGCTCAGATCAGACCTTCTTTGGAATATTGTTCACATGTATGAAGCTTCGCCAATAAGCATACCCTGAAGCTGCTGGAATCCATCCAAAAAAGAGCCATCTGCCTGATTGGAGACACGAACACCACTTGCAACCTTGATAGTCTGGAACATCGAAGAAAAGTTGGAGATTTGTCTCTCTTTTATAGATACTTTCACGGGAAGTATTCAAGTGACTTGGCACATTTGATTCCACCAGGAACGGTAAATGTCAGAAATACACAACGAATTGTGCCTTCTCATCATTTAAAGGTTCAACTCAGTACACCTCATACTTCAATGTTTCAGAACTCTTTCATTTGGAGAACTACTTTAATGTGGAATAAACTTCCTGAGGACGTTTTTCCAAATGACTTTAATCTCCAGTGATTAAAATCCAACATGAATCGCTACTTTCGCACAGGCACCACTTTTAGAATGTCTCAGATTTTCCATTAGTGCTTATGTTTTGTCCTTGAAAAAAAATCTCAAGTTTTCTGTGAAGTTGTGAAAAAGCACCTAAGAAACTGCAGAGAAAATGAGGTAGAAAACATTAACGATTGTAAACTGCTGTAGTAGTAGTAGTATTTTGACACATCCCTAAATGTGCACATCACACCCAAAATATGGACAACGCTATAAACACGGTAAAATAGGATCTTATTCAAATAAATTACAACAAATTACCTGTAAACTAATGGTGATATTAGTGTATAGATCATCTCCTCTCCTTTCAAACACAGAATGTGGTTGAGTTTTAATTTTGATAATGAGATCTCCTGGATCACCATCCAAATGTGGTTCTCCTTCAGCCCTGAATCTAGTTTCCTGCTCATCAACCATTCCTGGTTCTACCTCCATTTCTAGTATCTTCTCTTCATTAACCAACTTGACATTAGGGCACTCATCGCACACAGTCTGTTGCATCATTTGGATACGCCCAGGCCCCAAATTTCTAGTGATCATTTCCTGCCTACAATTGCATTTCCTGGTACCCTTGGCTGGTTTCATGACAGGTTTATTCCTCGTTATTTCAATGAAAGTACCACTATACAAATCTTCCAATGTAACGAATATGTCCATTACTAAATCAGCTCCTTTGGGGGTTTCATGTCTTTGTTCACCTCCTCCAAAGTGAAAACCAAAATCGCCAAAAAAACTAGCGAAAGGATCCATGCTACCATCCATCATTCCGTCTTTTTGAAGACAATCTTCTCCACATCTATCATACTTTTTTCGTTTTTCTTCATCGGAGAGAACTTCATAAGCTGCTCCTAAGTCTTGAAATTTTTGAGATGCTTCAGGATCATTTTGATTCTTATCAGGATGTAATTCTTTAGCTAATCTCCTATACCCTTTTTTGATTTCATGTAAAGTAGCAGACTTTGAAACGCCTAATATTTTATAGAAGTCCCTTCCAGCAGAACACAAAGTGGACAAATACACATTAAGTAATATGAATTTTATGAGATACATATTAATTTCCAATTATAACATTTACTTTTTATCAAATTGCATTATTATCAAAACAATTCATCAAATTCAATTATTTTGTATTTAGTTACAAAAACATCTTAGAGCCACAGCACTTGCACTCAAACACTGATTATTTCAATTTATAAATTTCATTGTTTTTAAATTCGATCCGTGTTTGGTCTCCGTGGAAATTTTATCCCCAGATGGCGAATGCTGATTGGTCCGTTTCGGGGTTGAGGGAGTATGAGTTTACATTTAACCTAAAAAGTATGTATTTCTTCTTAATTTTTAAGATTTGCCAGTGTATAGTTAACCCAGTGACAAGTTATCCAAAATAAAACGAGGTGGTGGTTCCATCATTATGAAACTGGGATAGGTCTCTAGTACTAAATAGAAATGATTTATTGTAAACTGTTTTGAAAAGGAATATTCATTCCTCAGATACAACTTCAAACACTCCAAAACAATATGAACATTGTAATCCTAAGTCAGTGACATAAAAATAATACAGACTGTCGCATGAAATAGTATTAAATAGTATTATCTATACCCAAATTAACAACAATGATGATTGTTTTCAAAAATATTCACAACCATATTTTCGAGTTTATATATTCATAAAAGCAATAAACACCGATCAGAACCCAAATCAGACACATTTGGAAAAATACTTTCGAAACAACTACTTTTATATGATCATTGGTTTATACGAAAAACTCTTTTTCCTATTCAGTTAGTACTCTAAACATTCGTTATGGAATCGAACTAGAATGAAAAAGTGTTTTTTGTATACTTCAATGTTCATATAAAAGTAACTGTCTCGAAAGTATTTTTTCTTTCGTTCAATTCAATGTTTACATGGAAGTTGTAGTTTCGACAGAACTTTTTCTTTCAGTATGTGTCTGAATTTGAGTTGTGAAGAGTTTATTTTGCAATTATTTGGTTTCTTTCTTCCTTTAGAGGATTCCCAGATTTTTTATTTTTGTTTATAGATGAAGAAGTAGAAATCCAAAACCTGTCTTTCCCAAAAATTAAACTCTATTTGAAATATATCTCTTCCAATTCAAACCAGTTTCCTATGACTGAGACTGAATCAAATGAGCAAATGAATGTCATTACGTACTGTCATCGATGACTCAACTCATTCGTGACAAAAGGTCGTAATTTTATGAATGAATTGGGTGATTTATCTTGTAATGTTATCCAAATTGGTACTAAAGAGGCAATAAGATGGGTATTTTATTCCCAAACATCGCTGTCCGTCATTGAGGATGAGTGTTCTAGGCAAGAGAAATTTTACCTCTTTCATATACTATATTGTGTAAAAATCCTGTGACTGATATCCGATTGAATTCCATAAAAAATGTTTGGAGTACATACTGAACTGGACAGAGTGTTTTTCGTATAATTCAATGTTCATGTAAAAGTAGTTGCTTCCAAAGTATTTTTTCTTTCGTTTAATTCAATGTTTATTAGGTTTTTCTTCCAGTTCGTGTCTGAAAATCACTTCTTTGTATGATCTATACATTTTTATGGAGAGTTCAGTTTGGAATTATTTGCTTCCTTCCTTTTTTTGAAAGATTCCCACATTTTTTTGTATAAAGATGGAAAGGAAGAAAGCCAAAAATTTTCATACCCAAAAATTATTCTTTCATAAAAATATATCCTTTTCAATTTAACATATTGATTTCACACATTATATTTCATGCAGCATGAATTAATTTCAAATTACATCAAGAGTATTTCATAGACATGAAAATGTGGACTGGCCGTGACGTCATATATTTCATCTACGAATCCCACAACGTTTTGGATACAGTGCACAGTAGACGTGCACGTGTGACAAATAATAAATAAAATTTTCATAATGGAAATATGCAACACGTAAAACATCGTGACGTTGATCTGACCTGTCACATTTTTTTATTGTAGGTATCCATGTCTCATTGGCTAGTTCATGTTATGACGTCACTGGTTAACTTCAGTTGATTTTTCGACGTTATTCGCATTTTTGTCAGACAGTCAGACATCGTTGTTAATATTTCAGCAATATTAAATTTGTTGCCCAGCAAAAATCTTTGATATTCCAATAAATCTATAATTCAGTACTCCGAGATTATGTTTCATTCAATGGAGTCGGAATTCGTAATATACGATTCGGGACGGTTCAAGATAGTTTAGGATCATTTCACAGTCGAAACCAGAACAGACGATTCATCAATCCGAACATTCCGAACTTATCCCCAATAAACCAGAACGCTCTACATGAACTGCGCATAATCCTGACGTCCTAGAACCTGAATTCTGTAGAACCAGAACCTAAAAAATGAATAATAATCTATCGTCAATTCACATTTTGATGCATGTTTTCCGCTTTACTTCATTAATTTAAAGTTTCAGAAACAATTTTGAAAAACTTGTCTTTTAATGATTTTTCTTTTGAGCAATGTTATATTTGGTACCGTCCAAGCCTACCTCACCTTTAGAATAAATTGATGATTTATTAACAAATCAAATTGGTAATTCCTGTAAGAACATGTGAAAAAACTGGAAAAACCCGAGTGGTGAGTGTATTTCTCATTCACAATGAAATTGCCCCAGGTATCAGATGACCTTGATTATGAGAAATTACAAATTACAGTCAAAAGTTTTATAAAGAGGTGGAAAATGACCTTGATAATATGAAAGTCTAGTTTCAATTTTCAATAAGTAATGAAAAAATATAATTCACAATATTTTCAAGTGGAAGTAAATGATTCGATTTTAGGGTTATCTAATCTCACTACTCCATTAATAATTGAATATCATTATCATTATTAATCTGAGATTCAACAGAGTATATAATTATCAGATAATAATAGTATGTGCCTCAATTAAATCTCATCTCATTTGGCTTCCGTTGTAGTGTTTTAGTACATTTGTTTGTTGTAGATCATTTGTACTGGACAAATATTAATAATTGCTCTGAAAATACTTTTTTTTGGAAACAAGATGGGATTTTTGAATGGAAGAGCCTTGCATTATGTTTTCAAGATTCCTGACCGGAAAGAAACAATCAGATTTTATCGAGAAGTTTTAGGCATGAAAGTTTTGAGACACGAAGAATTTTCTGAAGGTTGTGAAGCTACATGTAATGGGTAAGATCAATTTAAAATTGTATATAAAAATATTAATAACCCTTAACTATCTATAATATTTGCAATCTTTCTACTATAATGTGGACATATTCTTAGCTGAGTAATTTATTTCATACACTTCTACAGGATGAACCCAATTACAGAACAGGGAGAAACAGTGGCACTTACAAATATGAACTTGGGTACCTAATATAATTTGTGAATCTATATAAAAAAAAATCGAAAACAGAACTGTCAGCTAAGAAATGTCTTTTGATTTGTATACTCTGGCAGTTGAATATATCTAGGACATGACTAACAGAATTAGAGGTATCGCACAATGTATAAATTGGAGATTTTTTCATTATATTTGTATGAGGAGTGTTGAGATAAAATGTGACACTAAAATTCAACATATTGTAACAATTGAGAGCAGGTAATAATATTGTTTATGACCTTGAATAAAAAAACAAATGAATACTATTTATGCCTTACCTTGAGACTACAAAAATTGTGAGTTTCAAGCAATTCATATTAGGGTATTCCTACAATAGAATGCACGCCTTCGAGTTTAAAAGACATATTTAAGGAAGCACCTCTCTAGGGCTTCTTGTTGATAGTAGGGACTCCACAAAACAGATGCATATTCCAGCCTAGATCGAACAAAAGTGAAATAAAGTAATGTCAATGTTGAAGCTTTTTCGAAGTCTTTTGTATTTCTAACTAAGAATCCATACATGCAATAAGCAGCTGTCAGAGTAGTGTCAATATGAAAGATAGGAATGAATCAAAAGTAACACCTAGATCAGGGAGTGTGTCAGGGAGCTCCAGAACTCGATTGTTTATGACCTAGTTGTGTAATGTCAAATTCATTTTCAGTGAGTAAAACATTACATTACATTTGGAAATGTTGGGAGATAGATTATTCTTCCGACACCATGTAGCCACAGGATTTAAATTCAGGGCGAGACGTTCGCAATAATTAGAACATGTTAAATTGTGATAGAGTTTCAAGTCATCTGCGTATAAAAGGAAATTGACATCAATCTCAGATCCCATATCATTAATGAACATATTGAACAGTAGGGATCCTACTGTTCAATATGTATTTTCGTAAAAAGTATGACTCACCTCTTATATGGTGAAAGATATGAGCAATTGCATAAGACAAGTTCCTAGGCCAACAAACATGTCAGTGACATTAACATCTCTGGGTTGTCAATTTAGGTTGTAAAGCGATGTAATAAAGCAATTTTGAAGAAGAATTATTAATTTTTAATGACTTAAGTTAGCATTTGTTGGAGATTCGGACTTCGAGCTTCTAAAAATTGACAAGTTTCAAATACCTACCTTTAGGTAGGTGTTAGGTGTAGGTGTTAGAAGTTTATTGAAGTAGTTGTAATAACAATACACTAAGAGTTATTTACAATATGAGTTTGTAAATAACTTTAGTGTTGGTAATGCTGCTCACCTTGTGTCAATTGGAGACAACATGTGATACATATTTGGAATTAGGTCAAGAAGTCTGGAAATTGAAAAAAAAAATATTTCTTTTAAAAAACGATGTCATTACTCGAAGATAGGTGACCTTGTACAGTCAATTTTCATTCTAAAAGACAGTAAAACGGTAGAAATTGTCCTTCGTTACTTTATGGGCAGGCTGTGATATAAGATTCAGAAAAACTCCATGATGTATAGATAGATAGATACATTTATTTCAACACAGTATTTTATGATCATTCACAGGAGTGGCAGAATATGTTTGTCTGAGAAATACGTCAAAAGGAAAATTGTAAAAAATATCAAATATGTGTACATATAAAATGAAACATTAAAAATGAATAGCTTTAAGTTTCAAACACAACTACAAACATTTTAAAATGTGCGTCATACTGCGCATGATTACTGAAAGTAGAGAAAATTTCTATAAATGAATAGCGCAATTTTGAATTAAATTTGGTTCATACATTTCTACAGGCCAGAAAATATTCATCAGTATAATACGGCTCTAGATTACATAAGAATTTTCTTACAGATTTCAGAAATCTGTAAGAAAATATCTTTTATGTTTTTCGGAAGATTATTATAAAATTTCATTCCAGCGTAGATAGTGCTACGTTCATATAGGGATTTTGCATGGATGGGATATGAGAAGTCTTTTTTTTGTCTTGTCTCGTAAATATGCGTTTTGCNTATGAGAAACGCATATACAGGGTGTTGCAAATTCGATCCTCACCATTGGGATCTCGGAAACTATGAGAGATACGAAGATGGTTTAATTGGGGCAAAGTTGCGCATTTAAATGACTAACAATGTGCCGTTGAGAAAGTTCTAAAAGTCCAAGTATATCCGAAAAAAAACAGAAATTTCGGAAAATGGTTTTGAATTTTTTCTGGCTTTATTTTTCTAAGGATTCTGAAATAAACTGTACTTCCACATTGCCACTATTTTCTTGTTACATAATGGTGTTTTCAGATTTGCTATCTGACGTTTCGTCTCACGGCCACCATCGACTTTATTTTGTCGTAAGGGATTCTTTCTGTTTTGAATAGAACCAGATTTAACCTTTTCAATGATGTATCATAAGTTATCATTCTTTGTCGAAAATATGGAGATATTGAAAAAAATTAATTCCTACCATAATAAGCTTTGACTTTGATGTTTCTAAATTTGACTTTAAATTTGTTACACTCAATGATATTTTATTATTGTACAAGTCTTTGAATTTTTGGCGAAAATTGGCTTTTACGAACGAAGAAAAAAGAGATGATACAAATTTATTACAAATACGATAGAAATAGTGTTAGGACATCGGAAATGTATTTTAACTTGTGTCCCTAAAGACGACAACCACATCGAACTATGTTCAAGTTATTGGATCAAAATCTCACCTAGTTTGGTTCCTTCGAAAAGCCAATGAAAAAATACGGAGACAGAATCAACAATCAAAATTTGATGAATGAGGTGTGTATGAGGTAAATTTAACATTATGTCTTTTTCAATGAAAATACAACTTTGAACAAATAACAATAATTAACTAAAATGTAAATACAAAAGTGAATCACAGCACATGCTGGCCTTGTTCATGGTAACACAACTGTGCCCTTCTTCGAATATTATTCACTACATGATTAATTTCCCTCCTCCTCAATCTTCCGAACTCTCTAACAATACTGTATTGAAGGTCCTCAATATTTTGGTATTTCATCTGACCATAAACTCTATTTTTCAGTGTACCCCATAAGAATGTATTCATAAAACTTAAGTCTGGAGACCTTGCTAGCCGCCTCGCCGGTCCATTATTCTCTATACATTTATAACCAAACCTTTCAGTCAGGTAATCAGATACTCTTCTGGTAGTGTGCGGTGGAGCACCATCAAGTTGAAACCAGATGAAAGGTAGATCGTCCGAATAGTCTTCGAAAATCGACATTAAAAACTGGTGATAGGTGTCTCCATTCAGAATTCCGTCAAATAAATGAGGACCCAAACTTCTATCTTTGTAAATTCCTGCCCACACGTTAATACTAAATCGCACTTGAGGTCGATTTCTTGGAACTTCATGGGGTTGTTTATGATCCAAATGTGTTCGTTATTTCGGTTGATTATCCCACAATTCGTAAAAGTCCCAATCTGTCCAAATTACATTTTCCAGGAAAACAGGAAAATTAGGTCTTCTTATTAGCCAATTATAAAATTCAAATCGCCTTTCGGGATTACCTGGGTGCACTTTTTGAGATATGTGTATTTTGTGACATTTTAAACCGATTTTTTCGAGATGTTTCCAAGCACTTGTAATTATGACAAATATTCATTTCGAAGGAAATTTGACATGCAGATTTTCTTTAGTTTCCTGGTCCATTCTATCTTCGTAATTTTTCTTCGGGTTTCCAAATGAATCAAACTCGGTGAGATTTTGATCCAATAACTTGAACATAGTTGTCTTTCGGGATAATAATAATAATAATAATAATCGAGTTTAAATACATTTCCAATGTCCTAACACTGTTTCTATTGTATTTGTAATAAATTTGTATCATATCTCGTTTTTCTTCATTCGTGAAAGCCATTTTTCGCCAAAAATTCGACGACTTGTACAATAACAAAATGTCATTGAGTATAACAAATTGAAAGTCAAATTTAGTAACATCAAAGTCAAAGCCTTTTATGATAAGAATTATTATTTTTTCAATATCTCCAATTTTTCGAAAAAGAATGATAACTTATGATTCATCAATGGAAAGGTAAAATCTGGTTCAAAATCTATTCAAAACAGAAAGAATCCAATGTAGCGCCCTTAAGACAAAATAAAGTTGATGATGGTGGCCGGAAGACGAAACGTCGGATAGCAAATCTGAAAACACCATTATATAGCAAGGAAAAAGTGGCAATGTGGAAGTACAGTTTATTTTGGAATCCTTCGAAAAATAAAGCCAGAAAAAAATAAAAACCATTTTCCGAAATTTCTGTTTTTTTCCGAATATCTCCGGATATACTTGGACTTTCAGAACTTCTCAACGGCATATTGTTAGTCAGGTAAATGCTCAACTTTGCCCCAATTTAACCATCTTCGTATCTCTCATAGTTTACGAGATCCCAATGGTGAGGATCGAATTTGAAACACCCTGTATTGGTATTTCATAAATCATTCTCCGAACTGAAGGAGGTGATAGAGAGTAATTTTCATTCTTGTGATTTGTGCCTAAAACCTTGTTTTTGTTAGAAAACCCAAGGACATTTACAATTATTTTGTTTTATCTTTCATCTGCAGCATGATGTTCAGTAGCTCAATTTCTTTTTTTACATATCTGTTCTTTAAAAAGTTGCAACATTTTAAATGCGTTTAACTCAAGGTAACACAGCCAAGAAAGATATGCGCCTTTTGATGAAAATAATACATGTTGTGTTGGACAAATCAGGATCTCATTTTTTTTATTCAATGTTTGGCCAATAATTGCAGAAATGTATTTTATTTATGGCTTATTCAAAAGAAATTCCCTAGAAGCAACCAGGGTATATCATGAGCGTACTCAGAGACAAATATCCTGACCTCTAAGTTTTTATTCGTGTGTACGCTATGCGTACCTTGAAGTTCTTGTCTCTAGACAACCACAGCGGAAGGAAGAACCCAGGCTTATGATAACAACGAATAGAAACTGAAGAAGATCACACACTCAGTATATCTGTTTAAAAAAAATTATTTTTCCGTTAACCAGCTGTCGCACCCCTACGAACGACAACCGTCAGAAGTCGAAACTTGTACGAGCTAAGGATTAACGAGGCCTTACCTCTTTTAACGTGTGATTCCTAACACGGGTTGGACGGTAGCAAGTGAAGATCGATCGTTCAGACTAGGGCTTGAACCACCGACCAACACGGCAGTCAATTCGAGTGAGTGAACAAAGCACCCACGCCGAACCGCTTGGCTACCGACCGATACCGACCGCTTGGCTACCGACCGATACCGACCGCTTGGCTACGATATGTCAGATATCAATTAATAAGGGCTTACCGAGGGCTTAACTGCTATAAAGAATTTTGAATTTATTCTTAATACAACTATTTGAGGGAATATTCTGCGCCAAATCAATCGAGTGTATACAGCAATTCAGAAAGAAGATATCCTTACCCATTCCGTAGCATTAATGGATGGTCGGCTCAAAACTTTGCAAAAGTGGGACAAAATCCAATGAAATATTGGATAAAAGAGACTGAAGAAGTTGCTGAAAAAACTGGTGTTGAGACTATTTTACAAAACAAACGAATACCGAAACATAAAAAACATTTCGATGAGATGTGTGAAGACGAATTACAAACACTTCAACCTGTTAAACTATTTTCTAAAGGAATAATGATGGTATTTGATCGAATCATATAAGAAATTAAGAAGAGGTTTGATTATGCTACCATGGTGAATTTGAATTTTGTCTTTCTTAATTGTACTAATATTTTGAAAATGTCAATTGAGGAACTGCAAAGGTATGGAGCAGATGTGGCTCAAAAATACCAGCAATATTCAAGCACCGTTGAATTCTACCAGAAACTTTACGTTATTAAAGAGCAAGCACTTTTATTTGGTGATATAGAAAAGGCAAACGGTTTATATCTCTTGCAACAGATCTCTGCGCATGATTTGCAGGATGCTTTTGTTAATATTTGTATTGCCTACGAATTTAGTCTACACTTCTTACTACACCCGCAAGCTGTAAGCAAGTTTTAGCAAACTAAAACTAATTAAAAACTATTTGAAATCTTAAATTATGACGAATCCATAGATTTATTTGCTGAACAAAAAGCTCGAAGAGTAAAATTGTAATTTCAATTCACAATATACAATAATATATTTTATTTTTATTATACGAATTTTGATTTCAAATCCTGTCCTGTGCTATGTATAAAATATATATATCCTACACGTTCATATGCATATATCTGTAAATAAATAGGCTTAACACAGAAAGAACAGCAACGGATGCATTCTTTCTGGAGGGCCCATGTCCAAATGTCAATCAATTAGTGGGCATTTGATAGCTGAAAAAATTGAAGATCCGGAGTTGTAGGCATGTTGCAAGCTCCATATATTGATAAGTTTAGAATTAGTAAAGACACGTTCAAAGAAGCCGCGAAACACGTGTTACGTTTTTGTAACACTGTTTAGTGAAAATCTCAGTGTTTTTTAAATATGTAATGATTTTTTTTATATTTTTTCAAGCATAGGCACTGTTAAGAGATATACTCATTTTATTGTAACACATACTGCACTTTTTTTTGGAGTTCATTGACAGAAGTCGAAACAAAGTGCGAGCTAAGATTAACGATGTCAAATTCTGCAAGCTTTTCTGTGTTTCCTTTTTATTATTACAAACTTGAATATAATTCTCAAGTCTCTCGTAACTTGAAGGTCAATGATCTAAATATTTTATCTAGTCTTAGCCGAGAGATCACTGCAAGCCTTGATTTATCAGCCACAAAATTATTAACTGTCACCTGTTTATACATAATGGAAACAGTATGCTTAATTCATAAAAATAAAACTAGCAAGTACACTACCGGAACAAATTGTCACAACACCAGAAAGAACCATATGCTTTACTTACCTATTCCAAAATTCACCTTGACTCAGCATTCTCTGATTCATGAAAGTATTAAAGTACCTATATAATCACCTACCTACCATTCTAAAAAATAGGACAGATATCAAAAAGTTCCTAAGTACAGTTAAAGATCTTTTAATCAAAAAGCTTATTTTTCGATCCATGAATTCTACAATGATATCCTGTAAATTCTACTTGATTTTTCAATGTTCACCTAAACTCGTCTGTTTTATTTGTGAAATTGCGATGTTTGTATTTTTTATATTTCATGTCATGTATTGAATTTTTTATATTTTATGACATGCATTAAATTTTTTTACAAAACTTTGTAATAAGATACTAATCTTCCGACAATAAAGCATATATTGATTGATAGGTATTTTATAAAGATATACCGAAATTTTGATTATTTTTCAAAAGTAAAAGTACAAACAGCTGGTTTGTGGCAATTTATTTATAGGTGAAACCAGAGTCCAAACAAAAACCAAGCATTTGTGATCTATCACCAATGCTTTCATGGTTCAGCTTAGCCCCACTGATGAGACCTTGGCGAGTTGAAACGGCACTCTCTGGTAATGAATCATGAATGCATTGTTTTTGGGTACTGGTTTCATCTAACTGTCTTGCAGTGAAAGACAGGACGATTCTCGTTCGTTCATATAGAAGTTCAAAATCTGGAAACTAATTCTATATTGGAAACTTAAGGGATAATTTTGAAAATGTACTTGTTTCTTTATGAAATACCGAGTCATTCATTTTTTGCTTTGCAGACCATACAAAGGACGATGGAGCAAAACCATGGTGGGATATGGATCAGAAGATACACATTTTGTGATAGAGTTAACCTACAATTATGGGATACACTCATATGATAAGGGAAACGACTTTATAAAGATAACCGTAAAAAGTAAAGAAGTTTTAGAACGAGCTAAGAAAGAAAATTGGCCTATTTTATCTGAGAACATACTAGAAGCACCTGGTGGATATGCTTTTAAGATAATTGATGAACCCCAACCCACCACCACAGGTAATTACCTACTGTAATGTAATGCTTATTCACCAAATACAAATAGAAGTTATAGATATTTCTCACATATAATATACATAAACATATGACTATTTTTGTCTCATGTTTTACTGTATAGAATGACTTTAACATATTTATTTGATTTTTATGTTAGAACCCATGAAGGCATGTAAGATAGCAAATTCTATAAAAAACAGCCAATAAACCCGAACAATTTTATTGCAGAATGATTTGAATACTCATTTTTCTGGTTAACTTTCAGATCCAGTTCAGAAAGTAACTTTGGCCTCATCTAATTTGGCGAAATCTATTGAATATTGGAATGGAATACTTGGATTGAACATTTTTGAAAAAACAGATAATTCGGTTACCGTTGGATTCAAAGAGAATGAAGCAAAATTGGAATTAATTGATGTTGGTGAGTAAAGTGGTTATCATGATCTTTGATACAGGTGACGAGAGAAACTTTGGTGCCATCAGATGCCAGAGTAATTTCATTACATAACGATAAATATCCTTTTTTAGGTTTGTTCCTCTAATTATAAAACATCTGAATATCTTGGTAAGAATTCACATACAAAATATATTTTAATTACTATTAGTCTGTTACCACATTCAATGGAGGGTACTTTCATCAAAGCTTTCATAGAAGTTATCAAGGAATTGTGGTCAGAAAAATCATATGATAGAGTAGTGAACATGAAGTCCTTAAAAAGTCAGATTCAGAGCTTTGCCCCTCGATTCATGGGCCATGTGCATCAAGATGCCCAAGAGTTCCTTCATAATTTCTTAGGTTTACATGAGGACGTTAATATAATGAATGACAAACCTAAGCCGATCTTAACAGAGATCGACAAAAATTTTAGCGACATTGAAAAAGTACAAGGGTAATGGCTGAGATACTTGAGTACAAATAACTCTACGATTCTAGATAATTTCGTTGGTCAATTGAAATTCACGATGAAATGCACACACTGTGG